CACGGTAAGGAGTGTGAGGGTGCATGCGACTACTGTTGCGATGGCTGAAGTTATGGCCATTCTGGAAGGATGCGTTATGGTAAAAAATTTACAACTACAGGAGGTGGTGATTGAATTAGATGCACAAGGTATTATTTAGTCCCTTATTTATCCTTCTTTGAGTTGTGATTGTGACTTACTCCCAATTCTTAGCCGTGCTATAGAGGTTGGGATGAGTTTTCAATCATGCTCCTAGTCGTGGGTTCCATGGTCAGCAAATAGGGCGGCAGATTTCATTGCCAAGAATATATCTTCGAAGATGTACGGCTTCGACTGGGTTGTAAGATCTCTATCTTCGCTCGTGAGTGTTTTGAATAAGGACGGTCTCCCGTGCCCTCCAATGTAATGGGTGGGGGTTTTTTTGCATGGGTAGATGGGATGACGCTGGGGTCTGGTATGTTGGCATCTCTATGTGTCATGTTTATCCTAGTTTCTGCTCCCTGGGTTTGTGAGGATGCTCTCTGCTTGTTGTTTGGCCTTGTGCCTTTTTGTTTCTATGAATCGTTTCTTTTGACCAAAAAAAAAAAGGCATATTTTGGGAGTGAGTGAAGCACTTGATATGGAAAATAATTATGAATCATATGTACTTGTTTCACATGCATATTTATATATTGATCCAACGTCAACATCGTTTTGTGGTGGTGACTAATTCCAATGCCAACTAATATTAATTAGTTACACAAAGCAGAACGTTCTCTTGAATGTTTGTTGAATGGAAAAGAGAAGGAAGAGGATACGTAGAGGAGGAATTAATGTACCATGATTAAACCTGAATAAAACGTTATGGTTTATTTTAAGGAAAAGAATATAACAAGGAGAAATTAGGTTCTTATCCTTCCTTTTGCTACTTCATTTGACACACCCCGACTGAGATCAAGGCATGCTGGCCGTCACGTGATGGTGACGTAGCCATGTGCATAGTGCGGAAGCAATTAAGATAAGAAATATACGAATATTTAAAAATTGAAACTACTAGAGTGCACTAGAGAACAGGAAGTGTTAGGAGTCAATTACAAAAGTAAATACTCATAATAAGAGCATAATAAGTCTAGGTGCAGTCCAGTAGGACAAGTACTAGTTATACAGTACCAGGAATGTCCTACTATTATTTAGATATGTCAGAACTGCCGAAATCCTCAAGGCCACCGACAACAAGCTTACCTAAAACCTGGAGGGGCGCAAAATAGGAAACGTGAGTGGGCAAAAACAAATGTTTTACAAAACCATTTCATTTATCAACATATCTAATCCCTCGCTGTAAAACATGTATAATTTTTCCCAGAATCAAGATATATGCATATACATAAATTATATGAAATTATATCAATTCAAATCATGCTTCACATAATCATATTCATATGTATGCGATGCCAAGATATAACAGATTAAGCAATTCAGGTGAGAATAACTTCATAGAAATATAACATATTAGCCGGAACTCATGTGGTAGTCTGTACAGCTGAATTCGTAGCTCAAAAGTCAATCTAGCCGAAGTCACTACAATGGCCTATACGGCACTATACTGCACAAGAGTCGGAATCAAATGAAAAGGTCTGTACGAAAATAATGGGTGTAATATAATCATGCTCAATACTACTCACACATAATAACTGGGCTATAAATCGCTAGTCACTTACGAGTCGGAACCACCTAAGATGGTCTATACGACATGACTGTGCACCTAAATTGGATCCAATATGAGCATATGGTGCAGGAGGTGACATAATAAACAGGCCTGTGCCATATCTCTGGCTAAATCACAATCACCCTATGTGCAGTTTTATGAGCTCAACATTATTCAATCACATATCGCACCATTGATAATTCATATAACCAAACATAACTTACCTGAGCTTACCTGAGCATCCACAACACCACAATTATATATATAATGCATCATATATCAATTCATATACGAAATATAAATTCATATGCATGGCATCTAAGGCATACTTTCATTTAAACACATATTTCTGGGAAATATCAAGTGTGTGTGTATATATATATATATACACACATACACACTGAAAACCAAAAACCCACTCACTGATATGTCGAAGGGTCATAGCCCCCGAGTCGCCCTTGAACACGCTCGTCCTCGGGATAAGTCTCACCTATATGCAAATTAACTATAAAAACGTTATTTAACGCACATAGGCAAAACTAGCTAATAACTTCTCATACATAGCTCAAATTGGGTATATGAATATACCACAGTGACCTACACAACCTCAAGATCATTCCCAAATGTTTAGAATATTTTTCTGACCCCTCACACGTCGACGAGTGCACGGCAACATGCGGGGCCACGCGCAAGGAATCCTGACGGATTCTTTCACTGCCGTTAGAAATATTCAATGGAATATTCCGTTAAAACCCAACGGTAACTGTTAAAGATGACTGACAGTGTTAGCATATTCTGTCAACCTTGACGGAAGATACTCCTTTCTTCTCCGGCAAGTCACCGGTTGCCGGCGACTTTGCCGGTTTCTGGGTAAAACTTTAAAATGCTTATTCTCCTTCGTTTCTTCACCATTTTCCACAAAATTGGTACCAAAATGAAGCTAATAAAATGTAGAATCACATTATATAAGTTTCAAGGCTTAACGTTTACTAGATTTTCCCCGAGAAAGCTCGATAGTTCGGCTTACTTAGATGCACGTCGATCTCAGCCCTCTGACGTCCATTTCCTTCCAACGAAATACCCTGAGACTTGTGAGGACCTCCTTAAGCTTCCTATAAGCTTCAAATTCCCTAAAAAACAATATTTCACGTATGCATGAACAGTGACAAAATCGGTGGTTCATGGTTCGATGTGAAATCGGAAGATTCCTTACCTATAAATGGTACCAATCGATTCATCTGAGCTTCACGAACACAATGGTGTGCTTCAGTCCCTCGATCTGTCACGTTCCAAAGGGTTTTGGGTGTCGTCCGTACAAGAGAGAAGAGAGAGAGAGAGTGAGCCTGAGAGAAAGAGAGCACGGGAAGGAAGAGAGAGGATGTGTGTTATGTGTGTGCTCCACGTGGTCATCACCCAACCAAGGAAATAACATCTAAGTCTCCAAAATAAGTCACACACACTAAAATTTCAACATCGAAGGATAAAACCGTCATTTTACATCATTGATAATAATAATTCGGGACGGGCTGTGACACCATTGATTAAGACTCCTTTTTATTTTATGATCAAGGTCCTTAGGTGTTAATAAACGACATTAATTATTTCAATAATAACATTTTTTTTTATTTCTTAATATATTTATTTTATGTTACGAATGTTGCATTTGGTATCTTTATATTTAGCCATGCTAAATTTTTTATTGTATATTTTTATTTATAGTTTGTCCATATTTTTTATTTGCAACCCTTTTAATTTGTACCAATTTTCTTTTCAGTTTTAATTTGTACCCATATATTAATTTCTTTTTGTGACCATATCTTTTAAAGTTTTATTTGTTTTTGTACCCATTTTTAATTTTGTTAAATGTACACATGCTAATTATATATATTTATTTTATGTTTTAAAATATATTAGTAGTTATTTTTTAAAATATGTTAATAATTATGTGGGTTGGGTACATTATTTTCTTGCTATAATTTTTTCAAGAATAATGTTACTCTAATATTTATTTTTAAGTATTTATTATATTTTTAAAAATATTATTTGAATTTTTTTAAATTTCTTAATTTGTGGGACATTAAATGCATAAATGCATGAGTTAAATCTCTTAAATAATATTAAGGACATCGATCAAAATATTTAAATAAATAAGGTTTCAGTTCAACAATTAGGTCGATTAGGGACCGAAACAAAAATAACCCATATAACAATGATGAAATAGAGAAGGCTAAAGTAAGCCAATTCAAGTTGATCTTTTGTTTTGTTTAATATTGCGGAGGTCTATTACATTGTATAATTGTCATATGGGTTTATACAAAAGCCAACCGTTTATCTTTTTTATATTGTATGACACTCCTTTTTTTTTTTTTTTTTTTTTTTTTTTTTAACCGGCTGTTCTCTCTGTTAAAGCGCTATGATCCCGTCAATGAATTTCTTGGCCTATTAGCAATGCATGTTGTTTTAATTCCTGTGTACTCGATATACAAAATAATAATTTTAACCATATTTTACTTTTTAAAACATAAAAAAACATATATAATGCTGGTATATGCTAAGCTTCCTAGGACCTCAGTCGTCACTTCTCACGAGAACATGTTCAAATAAAATCAGGATGCGTGCCTTTGGTCACATACTAGGGCAACAAAAAAACTAACGAAGAGGCCACTGAGCCCACAATACGATATGTTAATGCTACAGAGCATAAAATTGTTAATATAGTTTTCACTTGAGAATATTGCTCAATTTTGCACTTAACTTCTAAGTTCTAACTGATCGGCCAATCAATCGGCCAATTACGCTATTCTTACCTTTCAACCAACCCCTTCGATTAGGTTTTTGTAGCAATATATAATCTCGGTCTCTTACCTTGACACCTATAACTTCATTTTTTTAGAGTAATGTAAAGAGTACTTCTTTTGATTCTTTATAGGGAAATAAAGTTTTTGTTTCTTCTCCTCCCTCTCACCACCCTTCATCTCTCCTTTTTTCCATATAACTTCCCTAGATCTCAGCACAAAAAGTGAAGAAAAAAAAATAGTTATCAAACGCGCCTTAAGTTTTTCAATTGAATTCATAGGAGAACACCAGATACATAGCCCAAGGGAAGAGAAACATATTTTCTTCTTTCGCCTCTACTAGGTATATAGTGGGAGGACTCTTGTTGCAAAAGTTTGAATGTGAAAAATGGGGAAATACTGCTAATATGTCTTTCCCCTAATAATCTCATTACTTCTTTTTGAAATTAGAACATGATCGCGTTGATCATTTTACTCAACAAAATATAGTATACAAGTTGAGTATTTTCAACCAGATTACTACTTGTTAGAGTGACAAATAGTTACGCTTCCTCCCTTGGTTTTGGGCCTTTTGGTGCCTGAGGATTAATCTCATTTTCTTGGGAACCAATGTTTGTTTCACCTACGGTGATTATAACATGGGCATCTTCACCATCCAAAAGCACAGGGTTAACGCTTCCCCTGTGCAGCAACAGTGGCTTCTCTTGTGATACAGTGCACTCCACAGCTTTTTTGAAGTGTGCTAGTTCAGAAAGCTCATGAACTGATTTAGAAATTTTTTCTACCCCTTTCACAATCTCAACTAGTATTGAAGCAACTGTTGCAGCTGGTACAATTGCAAGTATGTCTGCAGTTTCTAGTGATGCAGCTTTGAGTGCAATTTTGAGGTCTTTGACTGCAGTCTTGGAGTTCTCCAAATGTTCACAAGCATCTTTTGGTTCTTCCATGGTTTTGATTGCTACGGCTAATGCTTTTAGCGCTTTTCCAGACTCAATACTCATAGTTTTGCAGGAGTCTTGAATTATCTGTAAAAATTCTGGTGGAACCTGCAAGGATGATACAATCAATTAAGTAGTCAATCAAACTACCAAGGCAGATCAATTACACATTATATAAATACATGTAAAATGGTCATTTTCCTTTTGTTAAATATTTTAATTAAATTATGGACCCTTGAAGAGTATGATGGTTCGATATATACTTGTACATCTGAGTTGATGTGACCATTTAAAGTTTCAATCTGGTAGGCACATTGCCTGGCAAGGGCACCGATCTTCAAGTACTGCTTCCATGGATGGCGAAATTTAAAATGGCCATGTCCTGGTTCCCATCTTGCAAAATTTGCCTACAAATATACAATGTGAGTAGACCATACCTGGCAAGTACAAGTTGTACCCATAATAGATGGCTAGCTAAAGATATTAGTGGTTTCCATGCCATGGTAAAATTTAGTGGCAGCAGGGAAGGAGCAAAAAGATGCTTTAGTACTCACCAAGGATTCTTCACTGCTTTTTGAGTTGAGGACACTCTTATATCCTTGAAGAAATGATTCCTTACTTTTGGAGACAATGCCTGCAGACTTTCCATCCTTAGGTAATGGAAAATATTCACCACCAAAACCTGTAATTAATTAGTTAAATAGATTGCTTATTCTTAGTTGATCTTTTAACATGTTGAGGAAAACTTAAGGAGCTAGAGCCAATGAGTTAATATATAATTTAGTTTACCAACTAGGTAGTTTGCAAGATTTTCTATATTGGAAGATATCAGCTTGTGCAGATCTTCACCAGCCCATACTGGACAAACAAAAGCTGATATGATCATGCAGGTTCCTCCACCTATTGCAATTGTTAAGAGTCTCTGATTTGACATCTCCAAGATCCCTTCAACATGGTACCCCGAGACAGTCACCATGCTAAATGTTAATATGAATATCAACACCCCATAGTCATATCTCGCCTTTATCCGTGGGAAGAACCGTGAGAATGTAGATGCTGCAGCTGCAACCATAAAAAACACTTGCATGCATTAGTATAAGCAATAGTCTTTTATATAGAGACAGCCTAGCTATAATAAGAGAAAACTTCGTGCCGGATCATTTGTCATGTTCATTACGTCAGAGATAGTGAATTAGGGCCGTTAATTAAAGTGGGTCCATGTTGGTCATGTCAGATATCCGGCAAAGAGAACGTTAACTCGACGCACTATTTTCTTATGTACAAATATACCTAGTAGGAAGACAAAGATCCCAAGCACAATGGGTTCTCCTTTCACTCCAAAAAGACTAGCTATGTGAGTAGCTCCAAGGCCAAGAGCACCAGCAATGAATGTTGCAAAACCTCTATTTAAACCTTTGCTGAGGGTTGCACCTACACAGAAAATGAAAATAAGCACTTGATTTATTTGAACATGATAAGTTGAATGAAACTCTAAAGTATGTACACTATTTTTCACTTACCTACAGTGAATTCAAACACTACTACCACGGTTATCACCGCCCAGATTCCAGCAATCCCAATACCATCGAAAAGGACTCTCCAGTAGTATAATATGGACACCAATGTAAGAGCCAAAGCCACTTTTAGAGAGTGAGTTACTCTCCTTGGGTCGTCTTGTCCTAGCTTTATAATGCTCTTCACAACTTTGACAACCTTGGTACTCAACTTTCCGAGCAAGGCCTTGAGCCATCTGCACAGCCGCGAGAAAAACCTGACCTTCTCTTCCCCTGCAGTTTCTAACTTGGTGATCTCCATATTTTCAGTTTGGCGACAAACTGGATTAAAAGGTCTGAAAGGTTTGAAGAAAGATGGTTTTCCTTTCTTAACAAGTTATGTCCTATATATTAAGAAAAATTAAGCTAATTAAAGCCTTCAGGAAGATGGTTTTCTTTCATAGCTTCTAAAGACTTTAGAAAGGGGGAAGGGTGAAGAAAGTGGAAGCAACTTTGATGGGTTAAAGACTTTAGAAAGGGGGAAGGGTGAAGAAAGTGGAAGCAACTTTGATGGGTTGAATTCTCTCACAATTGGCCCTTATTTATAAGGCAAAGAGTTTGGTGTGAAGGAAGAATATTTTATGGAGAGAAAGATTTTGCTTGCAATTGAGAGAAAAAGGAGGGTTTTGAAAAGCGTGGGCTGACTAGGTTTTTACTTGGATCTGAGTAATATTTAATAAAACCCACAAACTTCAGAGCATGATGTTAATTTATCCCACTTGTCAGACTAGAGAAATCAAGAGTTCTTCAACCCACTAGTCACTCACAACTCTACTTTCACCACTACTATGAGGTTAAAAGTTTAAAACCTTCAGCTAGCTTGGGTAATTAAGTGTATATTTTAGTTTCCATGAAAACTCTCTCTGTTTCACACACAGGCATACACCATCTTTGAAACCCTAAATTTCCGTACGTAAAACATAGTGTGATCACTGTTAAGTCTCTGTGACTTGCACTGTGTTCCACTGTTGCGAGAGAGAGACAGAGAGAGAGAGAAGATGGTACCAGTTGGCTAACTCAGTTTTGAAGTTAATAAGCAGAACTGGTATGCATTGACTTCGAGCAGAGTATGCTTTCACCATGCCATGCACTAACCCCACCTGCTTTATTTAATTTAGGTAAAGTTTCATCATACTCTACAATTATTTACTAGGAAAGTAGAGTGGCAGAGCCATAAATTCTGTTCAGGAGGGTCAACCTTAAGTGCCCATAAATTATGTTAAATTGAGCTTATAAATAAAAATTACTTAAGAAATGATCATTAGTATAAACTTATTTAGCATATTTTTTTTTTTTAGTTTCCAACCTTGATATTGTTGTGATTGAATTAATTACATTATAGCAAATGATGATTTATAACAATGACGAAAAATAATTATGCCTAAGCACCTTGGTGCGAATTCGTAAAAGTAGTTGGATATGAGTATGAAGATATGAAATTAAATATCTTTTATATTAAGAGGCAAAGAATTTAATTATGAAATTAAGTGTTGGATTCTCAACTATGAACAAATTATATTTGTAGGAGGGTAAATTATAAATATAAAAGCCAAACTACATCAATATGGCACATATAAATACAACATTTCCAAATGTGGGAAGGGTCATATGACCCTCCTAGGCTTTAAGGCCATCTCCAACTAACCTGGCCAAAGGGCCATAGGTAAAAAAATAGTCTGTTTTGACATGAAAACCGTCTCCAACCGAGGGTTAGGACAAAAGGCTTATGGGCCCCACAGGCCAAAAATTAGAGAACTGACCAAAGGGCTGGCCAAGAGCAGCCAGCCCAATAGCCCAGCCCAAACACATGCTACCTGACGTTACTGTTGGATTTGACTTTTTTTTTTTTAAAGATGAAATTAAAAAAAATCTAATTTTTTTTCCTATAAATACCTAAGCCATTTCTACCCCATTTCTCACATCATTTTCACCATTCCATACATCTTACCTCATTTTATTTCAATTCTTAACCAATTTTTCACATCCTTTTCTTTATATAAAGATTAGAAATTTGGAGGCTTATTAATTTAGCAACAAGTAGCACTCAAAATATATCCGAAAACCTTATTTTAATAAGGTAGTTTAATTCAATTAAAATAATAAATTATTGAGGGGGCTAAAAAATAGTCCCCTTCGGTTGGAGATGAGTTTTTTTGTCAAAGATATATGTTTTGGCTTATGACCATTTGGCCCCCTCAATTGGAGATGGTATAAAATATGGTCTGACATTGTTTATTGAAAAATAATTTTTTGCGAAACTATAGAGCTAAACATGGCTTTTTAGTCATCTTTCTGTTGGAGATGACCTAACTGACTTGCTCCGCCAATGAAAGTAGTAAGAGATTGATGAAGCTATATATATTCTGTGGTTTTAAACTATAGTTAGTCAAAGAAACCATAGAACCAATGGCATTCACAAATAAACCAGTAAAAATTAAGTTTATATATATGCTGTGCAGGTCAGAACCATATAAGATGAAAACGTGTGGAAAGGGACGCAGTATTGTAACGTAGTACGCTGTATATGTAACTCAAAAATAAAAGTTATTATACTGTGTACTGATTGGAAGACTTTTCCCATTTGGTTATTTCACTTTTGACTTTTTTTTTTTAATGACGGATGAGGTTCATGTCTTCTTTGGTTAAGTGTAACTTTTTATTATTTGTATTTTAATAAAACTTCTCTAGTATACATGCTGTCGAAGTTTCTTTTAAAAGTAACAGCCCATGATATATCTGTCGAGATTAATCAATATTTCAATATATGCAAGTGCTTAGGCATTGGGGGAATTTGGGATGAAACGACAAAAGGTACCAATGAATATATTATTTAATGTGTTATCCAACAAAACTTAGTGTGTGCCTTCGGTTCATTACAAAGAGGAAATATTTTTAGGGGTGTGATGATATTCACACATCCTATTTTACTTCTTACACACTTTTTTAATTTTCGGCTTTCGAATCGGATGAATTAAAAAAGATCAACGGACATAAATTATCAAGAGGTGTGTGAGAAGTAAAATGAGGTGTGTTTGTACCATATTTAGGGCCTCCGTATTTAGACCTCGTATAAATACTCGGGGGATTCAAATGTAATTATGTAATAAATGAAGGGGCAAATATGTAATAATTGAGAAGCCCTTATTGTATAAAAGGACTCCTCACTCTCCTCATTAGGGGAGGTCAAGGTTTAGGCCATGGGAAGAGATAAAATATCTCAGAGAGCGTAAACACAGAAAATAGGCTAGAGAGCACACTGCCTCTAGCCTCCTTGTATATTCACCATTCAGAGTGAAACAATATCAACATCAGTGTGGACGTAGCCCGAACATTGGGATGAACCACGATACATCTTTTGTTCTTTACTTTCCTGTAGATTCACAGTCGGATTTATGTTGTTCCAAGACCTCCCCGATTTTGTGCATCAACATTTGGCGCCGTCTGTGGGAAACGATACGAAAAGTTGTGTCAGTTCTCTTTCATTTTTTCACCTCCGCCGTGAATCTGCAAAATCACAAAAACCCAAGAAACTAGTCCCATATCTCTCTCTCTCTCTCTCTCTCTCTCTCTACACATTGTTCTCGCTCACTTTCTTCTTCAACACCTTTGCCTCCTCCTCATTACCCCAATCCAGCATCTAGGTTCCGTTGTCTTTTCATTTTCCTCACCTGAGTTTCTTCCATTTCATCGTATATGCGATCCAAGTTTCAAGATTTCAGATAGCTGAGCTCAAAATTTGTAGAGAGACAAAGGATCTGTTTCTCGAGCTAGATCAGACGGTGCAGAATCCTTCAAAATTCCAGATGTTAGTACCACCTTCCTCCAAGCATTGAGACGTAAGACGTGAAGGAGGAGCCACTCGCTTCAAGCAATCTTCTGGACCCAACAACGACACTAAGATCTTCCCTTGTTTGGATGGTGGTGGAGACTTTGTGCTCTCTGGAAAATCAATGAAGAAAAAGAGGCTTAGAAAATTAAGTGCTCTTGGTACTGCAAAAACGACGAGCTTTCGAGACTGCGAAATGGGTTGCAATGTGTCTGACAGAAACGATGAGCTCCCCAGTAAGAGATTTAAGCTTCCCAGAAAGTATGATCAGCCAGCTAACAAAAATAAAAAAGAAAAGAAGCCTCCCCGGAAACCCAGACCTAGATGCTGAAATAATTGCAAACTGAAGACGTCTTCTCAGTTCCAAGATGGGAAACACAAATAAGCCGATTTAAAGAAGAAGATGAAGAAATATAGATCAATCAAGCTTTCAGATGTTGAGAGCTTAAGATCATCACCTTCGAGGAAGAACTTATCTCAGCCAGGAAAGCCACCACCGTAGCCTTTGAATGTTCCAATCACTGCAGCTTCCCCTCAGAAGTAGCCTCTGACCAAGACAACTTATGGCTCGCCAAACTACATGAAGCCCACCAACTGTTCTCATGTGAGGAAGGAGCAGTCACATGTTAGTCTTCGAAGTTCTCCGCCTATATTTTTGGATAGTAAGAACCAGAACCAAAAAAATTCAGGCAGTTCAAAGCTTAGGTCTACTTCTCACGAGCTACTGAAGGAAAAAGTAAGGACTCGAGTCCAAGAGCTTCGGGGGATGTTCACCAATATTTGAATTGCCTGGAATGAGGGTTGGACTGTCGACATGGTTATATTTGAGGACCAAATGGATCAGATGCTTGGCGGGTGGAGTGCCGAGCTCAATGACCCATCCCCTACAACTTCTTTGCAGGGTGGTAGCCATGTGAAATCACTTTCTAAATGCCCAGAACCTGAGGATATGTCTACTTGAGTTGTGAAATGGAGTGGGAAACAAAAGCAAAAGTAGAAAAAAAGGGAAGAAGATAAAAAAAAAAAAAAAAAACAGACATAATTGCGGTGGTGATGGCATAATTGCAGAGAAGGGAATTATGGGCGTGACCCATTGAGCAGGCCCTGCCCTGCCCCACCCCCTGCGGCAACTGCCAGTTGCACATGCTATCCCACTATCCAACCATCTGCCATACCCACCTTCTGCAACAACTTTTTTTTAATAATGTGATTTTCTTATCTTTTGGAGACATCTGTATAACCCCACCATAGGGTAATCATAAATAAAGAAAGAAGGCAGCAAAAAAAAAAAAAAGGGGGCAAAATGTTGGCAAGCCCAAAATAGTGGCCTGGAAAGCTATGTGGAGGGCGATCGCCAACTAGGTGATCAAAAGTACGTCCAGTACTCCAAAATTATTCGGTAGTCTGCCGCTATTATCACCAACCAGGTGATCAAAAGTACGTCCAGTACTCCAAAATTATTCGGCAGCCTGCCGCTATTATCACCAACTAGGTGACCAAAAGTACGTCCAGTAC